TGGAGAAAACGAGACACCTTGCCATCAAGCTTGGGCCAATGCAACGCCACGCTACGTTAGCGTAACGGCGGAGACTAACGTCAACCTTCCATTGCGAATGTGGGCAAAGAGAGAGAGAGAGAGAGAGAGAGAAACGGAGTACTTGGTAGATGAGGTGCCTCCTTCCTACCTAATCCTGGTTCATTGGCATGTCAGTAAGGATATCTGTGTGACGAAGCCAGCGGAAACACACACCGGCCCGGTCAGGCGTTCCGGGTACCAAGATGCTGTGAGCAACCGAGACTACGACTGAGACGAAAGCTCGATAGGGAAACTGAAATTCAGCGAAGGCGAGGTATTTCGGCGGTCTCCTCTGCCTGCCTACTCCTGTGCCCAGGAGTATGATGTATTCGCACACAGTACTTCGCACACCTCGTGATCCTGGGCCGGGCCAAGGCAACGCACCGCAGAATAGGACGAGATAGGACGCTCTCGCCGGATGTAACCCGCCCTTCCTCACATTCAATGCGCGCGGCGTGCCCCAAAGGACGACGGGCAAATGCGTCGTATATTGACGAGATGGAGAGCGTCTTGAGACAAGACGAGGAGAAGCGAGGTGAGGTGGGCAACGGCAGGACAAGGCGAGAATAGGAGGAAGATGATGGATGAAGAGAAAGTTGAGGAGACGGCGGCACAGAGACAAAAAGATGAGATGAGGATGGAGACGAGGAGAGAAGGAGCTGCATGAGGACAGGACCAGGGTAGGAGCCTCTGGCGCTCCTGCCAGGTACTAAGCTAAGGTACGTGCGTACCTCCCCTGTCATCCGTGTCCGGAAGTGGGTCGGGAGATTGACACCTCTTTCCGTCTTCCTAGCTCAGGTCTTACCTTCCCAGCTCCTGCCTCCATACCCCAGTACGAAGTACTTTGTACCTAGCTACAGGTCAAGCAGAAGGAGCTCCGTAAGGTACCTTACTTCCTGCCTGCACTGCACCTCATCCGAATCCATTACAGGGCCACCATACCTTAGGGCCTGATCGGCTGGTACTGAGCACGGAATCTTAACTATAAAATTTATTAGAAAGAGAGGCTTAAAGCCGTATAGTATAATAAGGCTTTTTCGATTTTTTAAAAACTATTTTATCTTTTTAAGCTTATAATCTATTTATATAATTTTAAAATTGATTATATAAAAATTGACCTTAATTAACTAACGTGGGTTACTAGTCAGCTGCGCATATCAGTCAGCCGCGCATTTCCTTATCGTATACTAAGTCGCCTACATTATATAATTAATATCTTTTTCATTGTTGGTTATATAACGTTCAAATTTTTCATTAGTCTTTGATAAGAGTCACCAAACTAAATAAAAAGTTTTAAAAATTAATTTCTATTTAGAGAAAGAGTAAATATATTATATTTTTATCAAAGACCCATTTTTCTATTCCACTACTTATTTCAATAGAAAAATTAAAGTGTCTTTTTTTATTAAATTTAACTAACTAGTTAAGTTATATCTTAAATATATTATAAGGAAACTGAAATCTTTCTAATTAGTTATTATTCAAAGAAATTAGGTAAATATGCAATTTAGTATGCGATAAGGAAATGCGCGGCTGACTGGTAAACCACGTTAGTTCTTTATATACGGTTAGGTTAAATCCGTAATTTAAAAAGAATAGAGATTATTTAGTACTTTTACTAACTACGTTATTATATACGAATTAGGCCATTAGTAATAGCGATATTTAATTATTTTAATCGTAGTTTATATAGTAACGGAGGTATATTTTGAGGATCTAGTTAATTCTTTCCGTCTAGCTATTGGTTTATAGATAGAAGGCGGTTAATAGTTTATAGTCTATACCTAATTGCGAGATTAGGGATCTTTAAAACTTAAAAGTAAATAGCTTATCCTTATTAGTTACTAATTCTTTAGGTAAGCCGTAATTACTAAATATAGTTTTAAGAAAGATTTATATTAACTCTTCGGCGGTACTTACTTTCTTATAAGGTATAAAATATGTAAACTTAAAATATCGATTGATAATAACTAAGATACTATTATACTATACGTTTGTAAATAGTTCTTTAAACTTTAGTAATTTAACAATAAAGTCTAGTAAGATTAATTACTAATTTTTTAATACTAGTAGCGGTTACAGTTCTCTATAAGATCTATGGCGACTATTTTTACTTTTTTTATAAAGATTATAATTTTTAATTGCCTTAGTAACTTCTACTTGTATGGCGGATTTATTATAATATTATTAAATCTGTTTCTATATCTTTATAACGACTTAGTAACTATATGCCTTAGCATTATAAATTTCTATAACAAACTTAGGAGTTTCTATAATAATATAACGACCGGGGACAGGAAAGCATCACGTCTCATTGAATGCCCCCTTCTTCCTCTCGCCCCTGCCAACTTCGCTCCAGCTACCTGGCGTCGAGGGTCCAGAGAACAGGTCTTTGGGAGGACAATTGTAACTAGTTTGCCAGACATCCTTTCGTAGTTTCCACCTCGAAACCCTCGCCCTCGTATCCGACCCAACATGTCGTTTCTCGGAGACTTGAACGAGAGCCAGAACTAGCAGGCCCAATGTAGGGTAGACACTGACGCTACTTCTACTGCTCCCGCTACACTTTCGAGGAGCTGACATTGTGGAACAGCAGCTATGAATGAATACCTTGCTCCCGTACCTTAGTACGGCTACGTACCTTGCTCTGAACTCGACAGGCACGACTTGGTGTGAAGCAGTTGGCAGACAGACTGAGACCCGGAGCGAGGGCAAATATGTCAAGTATAGAAGGTCACGCATGCACGAACTCTACTTTATGCTTGTGTTCTGCCGGCATCACAAACGCGACCTACTTCATCGTACCGCACCGCATCCCTTGCCTGACATGCGCCGTACGACATCGGACGGACACAGGCACGCCCTCTCTCTTCCATGGACACGTTTTCGGCCTCTCACAACCCCCTCAACCTCAACCTGCTGCAGTACCTGGCCTTGACACGCGGCATGGCAGTGAAAGTTCGTATTGTTACTGTACGCAACCTTGTACAACCGTGGACACCCCCTAAAGAAGGGGCTTGATGTGGTCTCATTCCCGCGTCATAGCAACGCAGCATCGCGACGCAGACGACGTTGGTCCCTAGTTCTTGCCAAGCAGCGACTTCCCCTCGCACGTCTACCGTCGTCCTTTACTGACATTTCGACTCTAGCCAGGGACCCCACGCCAGCTCGGTAAGCTGAGCTTCCAAGGGGGTCCAGGTTAGCAAGGCAACATGGCTGACCGGCGATGTGAATGGGTTTCCCGATCTGCCTCCTTTCGTCAAATCGACAGAAGTTTGCACCGGAAAGTGGAGTTGGCACAAGACTGCGAACCACCATACATAGAGTTGTCCCTGCTTTTCGACGGGGACACTTGTACCGTAGTACGCGTGACGGAAGCCCATCCCTTTCGCACTGTCCAGCTCGCGGTCGAGGCATAAGGCAAAGAAGACGGTCTGTTTCTGTTTTAAACAACAACCCTGATATATCAAAGCTGATGTTTGGCAGACGGTTAAGACAATAGCAAAGAAACAGTTTGTCCAACCACATCGAGGTAGTCCACCACGAGAACAGTAGCCGACAAGTTTGCTACGTCTGTTTTCCCTCTTTCTCTCTTTTCGCCTTTCCGATGTCCTCGCCCATGCCTTCGGCCCGCAAGCGCAAGTCACTGTGCGCAAGAAGCATAACACAAACATAGACTCCCATGCCGTTTCCTTCATGTCAAGGTTAAGCAGTGACACCACCACGGCTACGTACAGACGAGGTGACCAGGGGGCATTGCCCATCTTCACTTGGCCAGCCAGCATTATTCCGCTTGTTGCGGATCATCGGCCGGCATTGCCCATCTTCACTTGGCCAGCCAGCACTTTTCCGCTTGTTGCGGATCATCGGCCAGCACTGGGGCACCCCTCCCTCCCCAATTCCCCCATGTGCCTTGGGGGCGTAGAACGGGCTAGCATTGCTGACAGGCCCATCGCGCCCGCCCGCCCGCTTGGTCTTCGGCGGCTATGCACATCGCTTCAATCTTGCATAACACCAATCATGGACGTTCAAAAAGTTCACAAACCTCTTTGATTGTGCCGCAGTGCTGCACTTTGGACTTCATCTTCCGCTCGTTAAACAAGACCAACCGCGCCGTCCACTTGCAGCAGGTATACCTGTGACGCTACCACACTACCGTCTCCCTATCACTTCACCAGAATTCACACCCTTCTCAAGAATCGATGAAGCCAGCAAACGGCACCTGGATTCGCTCGCCAGGCCGAGCCACAATCAGCGACGGGAAGCGGAATCCAGTCCGCAAGCCGGCCGCTAGCGGTTAAACGAATAACGAGGGTGGCACGGTTGGCCGCTTAATCCCGCCTTCCGTTTCCTTCCATCCCTGCATGGGCCCACCCATGCCTAGATGGCCGGTTGATGAGGAATACCTAGTATGAATGGAGAGCTGCTCAGGCTCTCAGCAGCAACCCAGCTCGCGGCACTCCTTCGCCCCCATCTCCAAACCTCAAGTCTCTGCCCAATGCCTCCATACCAAGCTAGGAGCAGGGTAGCCCCTTGTCATGATCGATCTTTGGGGCCCACGGTTCGAAGTTTTAGCGCTGTGTCCGTGTCCCGCATCAGCTTGAGGTTCCATCCCTTGCGACTGGCCGATTGATGCTGCCCTTGGGCTTTAATCAAGAACGGATGACGAGGAGCCCAGGGACAATGTTGGTTCGACAACGCGCAAGAACCGCCTCATCGTGGAAACTCAAGTCTATTGCTCCGATTTCCATCTGTTCAATCTTTTTGCTTTGAGCTATTGTTACTAATTTCACGACCTACGATCCTTCCCTTTCCGCATTCCCGGCTCAAGGCTCTTGTTAGGGCCCTTGTTCACCGGCTCCGGCTCCCTTGGCCCGTTGACCGGGTTTGTGTACGACCCGAGACCAACAAGCACGATGAGAAATCCATCGGACCCTCCCCCCCCCCCTTTTTCTTCATATTTTTCTCTATCCGTACTAGAAAATTGGGATTTTACGCTGATGCACTTCACGGTGCTCGGCAATGGCGCCTGTTGGGAAACCATCCTTCACCAGCAACAGACTCATATGAAGGAAAAGGCGCAGAACTGGCTGTGCTCGTCGGTCGACGTTGAACACGGCCATGGTTGGACACCTCGAGCCGGCCGGTCCAAGCGGCCTGTTCGGCGGGACTTTTCTTTTTCTTTCCCCCTTCGTAACCTGCGACCCGTAAGGCACTTTTCCTTCATTTCGTTTGTCTCTGCAGTAGAGAAATTCGTGACTGGGTGTGCCACACGTTATGCGTGTGCGCATGTTGGATCCAGACAAGCCAAAGAGACGCGGCTTGGCGTCTTCACGCGCAGAGCGTGAGCAAACCCGCGAATCAGGACCGAGTTTGTCGACCGCTTGTTGGTGTGGCCATGTAAACGAACGTCCACACACCCATCCAAGCGCCGCCGTCACCATCGCCGTCATCGCTAGCCATGAGAGCTCCTTTCACCCCATCTGCCCACCAGGTTCGCCGTTTTGCGCTTTGTTGATGCGAGTACAATACGAAGACCCGGAAGTGATTCGTAGAATTCCTACAGAGTATGGGTAATGACTCGTGGGGTCTGAGTCGTTGTATCGGTAGATGTGACGAGACCGGGATTCGAGAGGCCAGATGGAGAAGAGGAAGGGGCCCCGTCCGGAAGAGGACTCGAAGAAGACGCGTCTCGGGCGTACCCATGAGCATCATGGGCAATGATCCATCCTGGAGATTCTCCCACCCTTCCCAGTTCTTTAGAGGAAGAGGCAAAGTCCGTCTCCGTTCTTTGCATCATTGCTCCTCTTACATACTGGACCCCGTCATCCACTTATCCTGCCTTGCCTATCCGCATCACGAGGGAAGGAACAACAAGAATTAAGGAACAAGGAAGTAGTGTGAATGTTTGGATGAACGCCTTGGGTGCGGGTCGCGCCGCTGTCGCCCGCGCTGCCCGCCGGGCTACAAGGTTTTCCTTGTCGAGCGAGCTTTTCCCATTGCGTCTTGGTGTCAGTGTCTCGTTATGTGACGTGTAACTTTTGTTGCAACCCCTTCTTTTCTGCCCCGTGCCTGTGCCCAGAAACATATCAAGAGGTTTAGATTAAAAAAAAAAAGGAGAGAGTACAGGGCGAACCGACCGACCAACATCCTACATGAAGGAATCCCGGTTCCCTCCAAAGGCCCAAAGGGAACAATTAGGTATAGTGAAAATGATGACAAGGTGCAGGTCCAGACCCGGGTTGGGGCTCCTCTTAGCGTCACTCCCTTTTTTCTTTCTTTTTGGGTTTTTTTTTTTGCTGCCTCTCTTGCCCTGGGAATGCCAATCTTCCCCATCCGTGCTCTTTCGGGGAACCCACACCTGTGTTTACTCAGCTATTACAACTCTGTGATAAGTGCGCACGCAGCATCTCCGGGTCATGGGTTCGTGAGATGGGGGGGGGGGTTCCGGTCGGAACTTGGGGCATCCGTAAGTGGGAAGAGCAGGTGGGGCCAGCCAGCCAGCGGGGTCGGAAAGCAGGCAGAACTAGGCAGGCAGGCACAGGCAACAGCAGCGACTTCATGGACATGAACAAGTCGAAACGGGCAAACAACAGACATCATCACGATCACAAGCATCGAGGTGATGACAAACTTGTCTCACAATCTCATGACGGCAATGCACATTGTGCACTAACAAGTCACGAATCAGCCAGGGTGGGTGGGACATCCTCTTGGGAATATCAGTCTGGTCCAATTTTTTCATGAGGCGGTTCAATCTGCGGGAAGATAGAAAAGGAAACAGGGACTATTCATCTCCCTCTCATCGCGCGAGATAATTCCAATCTGTGGTTTTTGTGTGTGTTCCTCATCCTCTCAAGGAAAAAGGGGGTTCCTAGGTATTGCATTGCTTCTTCGCTCTCGTCCCCCCTCCCTCTTCCACACATCAAGCCACCCAGGAGTCAGTCGGGCCCCTTCCTTGGCTTCTCATCCTGTCAAGTCCCCAACCGGCCCCCTTGCTCTTACAACCCCCCAATCGCCGTATTGTACAAAAATCAGCTTTTTACATAATTCACCGCAAGCCCTTTTTGCTTCTTTTGAGTGATGGTTTTTTTGGTGGACGCTGTTTTTGTGTATGAGGGTATGTTGCTGTCCTTGCTTCTCCCCAAGTCTGGCCCCTCTATCGTCTTTGCGTGTAGCAATCTTGCTTTGTGTGATGTTGCTTGTCTCTGAGAGCACTTCTATAAATGCAATATTCCTTGTCCTCCACGCGAGAAGAGAAAGAAAAAAAAGAGGATAAGTCTCAGTGACAGCCTGCGTCTGTAATGAGATGCGATATTCCAATCGACCAGAACCAGTTAAGCCGTAGAATCATTAGTCGGCGTATTAGGAAAGTGAAGGATAGTGGCGAAAGGAGGACGCGATTGGATGCATCTTCGTAAAGCGACGCACTATTAGTTGCCGGAGCCGCCGGGTCCAGGTGTCCGGGGAGACCAAGAGGGAGACTATGACCATGTTAGAAGTTGCTCAGAAATATCAGTAAGAAGTGGATAGCTTACAGTCGGCGAATAGCTGGGGCTGGTCGGAGACTGCTGGGCTCCTGGAGTCTGTTGGAAACTCGGGCTCGTAGGCGAGTACTGAGCCGGTGAAGTAGGAGACCACGTCGGCGACGCAGGAGAGTACGACGGTGACGTGGGACCAGCCCCGTGGAGGTTGGGGGATGCAGGGCTGTAGTTGGGACTGGCTGGCGAGTAGCTTGGAGAGGTGGGAGAAGCATACTGCGCTGGCGATGTCGGGGAGTAGTGCCTGGGCGAAGAGGGCGATGCCGGTGAGTAGCTTGGCGACGTCGGGCTGTAATTGGGGCTTGCAGGGCTGGTAGGCCGGAGCATGGGCGATGTTGGCGAGAAAGAGGGCGACGAAGGGCTGAATTGCGGCGAGGTAGCCCCGTAACGCCCGGCAGCACCGTCGATGAGCGGTGATGTGGGCGAGTAGCCGGCGTTGGGAGACGACGGCGAGTATCCGCCATAACCACTGCTGAAAGGCGACGTCGGGGATGTACTGAATGGGCTCGTCGGCCGTCCAGGACTGGCACTCGAGTAGGGGTTGACAGATCCAATGCTACCAAATCCACCACCACCGTACTCGGTACCGAAACCAGTGGGTGAATCGGAGCCAGCGCCAACAATGGGGGAGAAGTTGCCGGCGGCGGGCGAGCTGAGAGACATGTAGCCCGAATCCGCCATGGGAGATCCAGAATCGTACGGGGTGGCAGCACCGCCAGCCTCGCCGCCCTTGACCGGCATGCCAGGCATAAGACCCATGCGCGAGTTGTCGCTAATGACGGTCTCCAGCATCTTGGGGTCGAGGAGAACGTCGAAGTGACCAGTACCCATGGGGGCCATCTGACCGAGCATAACGTTCTCAGAGATTCCACGGCAGTCATCCAACTCACCAACAGCTGCAGCCTCGAGAAGAATTTCCACAGTCTCCTCGAAAGAACAACGCATCAGGGCACCAGTGTCGGCTCTGTTGATACCATGACGAGTGACAGCAGAGATGGTACCTCGGTACGTCATCACGTCACAGAGAAGAGCAAGATGTCTGTGGTTGACGTAGGAACCGTCGAAGGCAAGCACCTGAGTCAACTCACGAATGAGAGCCGCTCTGGCACCCTCAATACCGAAGACTTCCACAATCTGCCACAAGTGATTGGTGTACGTGCGGTTGGAATCAACGCCATCAACTGCCAAGACCTGGCGCAGAGCTGTTCCGGAGGTATCCAAGTACCATTCTGAGCAGCGCTCGTCCGCCTTGGCAGCTAGCAGGGCTCCGTCCTCGGTCTCGATGAGCTTGGTCTCCTTGTTCAAGAAGGCTCTCTCGATACCCTTGACACCACGCAGGGAGAGAGTGTCGAGCAAGTGAGTCTCAAGTCTCTTCAGCATGACATCATCCTCGATCTTCTTCTCACCATCTTCGTCCTTGTCATTGCCCGCATGCATAGGCCGAACACGAATAATCTGCTCTTCAGCGTTGTTATCACTGAAAATGACAGCAAGATCGTTGGGGTACTCCTCCTTGATGCGCCTAGCAACGTCCTCGACTGTCAGCTCCTTGTCAAGAAGCTTCTGGCGGTCCAGAGTGAGACGAAGGAGCCATCTTGATTGGTCTTCCGTCTTGTCGTGCGACTCGTCGGGGATAAGGTAGTAAGACTCAACCATATCCAGATCATCGGGAATGTTGGTCGAAGTGATCTCCGGGTCATAGTAGATCTCGGTGACTGCGGTCACGGAGCGCAAAGTCGTGTGCTCAACCGTGCTTCGAAGTTGCTTGGCAGCTTCTTGACTGGCATTGTCCTCACCACTCAGGTAAACAACCATAGAAGGAGTCTTGATGTTCTGGGCCAAGTTAAGAATTTCCTTGAGACGCGGGACACCGAGAGTAACGTTCTTGGAGGAAACACCAGCGAAATGGAAGGTGTTCAGCGTCATCTGAGTAGCAGGCTCACCGATAGACTGGGCCGCAATGACACCAACCATCTCACCAGGACTAACAAATGCTCGATCCCAACGAGCCTCCAGCTCTCCCAAGATGTGCTCGAAGGCCATCTTGTTGAGGCGCTGCTGGCAAGCGATACGCTTGAACGCGAGTCGAGAGCGGATCTGCGCCTTGAAGAGAATCGTGGCGCTGTAGTCAGCCTCCTTGGAGATGTCATCCTTGCCACGGACGATAGTCATTCTGTTGAGCATCTTCTGTACAACAGGAATGACGTCTTGAGGTCGGAGGTCGCTTCGCTGGAAATCTTCAACAGCAAAGAGCTTCTTGGCTGTCTCCATCAGACGAATGAGGTTCAATGGCAGCTGCATCGACTCATCATCCTTTCTCTTGAAGTTGATCTCGCGGACTTGCTTGCGATCAGAGATCAAAGCGTCGAACTCCTCGTCCAGGAGCTGCTGAACTGCGGGGTCACCTGCCATCTCGTTGCCGTACTCAAGCCACTCCAGCTCTTCCGGCCTGTTCTCATCCATGACATCCAGTCGGAATCGGTCGGCGAACTTCTTGTGCGACATGTTGAGGTGGTCCATACGCTGCTTCTCGATGTATATAGCGTCCAGACCATCTTCACCGTACAGGAACTGAAGGATATCACCCAAAGAGTTTCTGACGGTACCGTCGTACTTGGCGCTGACGTCCTCAAGCGCCTTGACGAGACGACGCTGGATGTAACCTGTCTCGGCGGTCTTGACAGCGGTATCGATCAAACCCTCTCTACCAGCCATGGCGTGGAAGAAGAACTCGCTGGGCGTAAGACCACGGAGATACGAGTTCTCAACGAAACCACGAGCCTCGGGTGAGTAGTCGTCCTTTGTGAAGTGCGGGAGGGTGCGGTATTTGAAGCCGAAAGGAATGCGCTTTCCTTCGACAATTTGCTGTCCGACCAGGGCAGTCATCTGGGAAATGTTGATGGATGAACCCTTGGAACCGGACGAGGCCATGGTGACCGCGTTGTTCAAATCCTTCAAACTCTTCTGTGTGGTGGTACCGGCCTTATCACGAGCGGTGTTGAGGGCCTTGGAAACCTTGCTCTCGAAAGTCTCACGGATGTTCATACCGGGCAGAGGCTCCAGCTCGTTAGCAGTAGCTTGTCTTGTGAACTCCTCGACCTCGGCCTTGTGCTCATCAATGTGGATCTGAACCTTTTCAATGGTGATCTTATCGGGAATCGTGTCACCGATACCGATACTGAAGCCGTTGTGCAGCAGCCAGTAGTTAACTGTTTGCTGAACACCGACCAGGAACTTCATGGCCGCCTCAGGTCCATGCTCATTGTACACGATGTGGACGATAC